GGGAGAAGGGAGAAGAAAGAGGGAAGAGGGGGAGAAGGACAAGGCTGCAAAAAAGCGGAGGAAGAACGAAGGAGGCGAGAAAAAATGCCATCATACGAAACAGAAAGAGGAGAAGGGAGAAAAGGGGAAGAGGAAAAACAGACGAAGAAACGAGGGGAAGGAAAAGGAAAAAGGAGGGGGGAGAGGAAGAAGAAGCCCGGGAAAGAGGGGGGCAAAATGAAGGAACAGGCGGAAAAAGGAAGAAAAAAAGAAGGAAGGAAGAGGAGAGTAGAGGGGGGGGCGAAACAGAAGAAAGAAGATGAGAAGAGAGAAGGACAAGAGGAAAAGAGAAGAAAGTCGCTCGCGCGCGTAGGGCCGTCAGTACGTAGCCGAGGCTACTAATAAAAACGCTACAGAGACGTAACAAAGAGTGGTTACCGGGATGGATAACATAACAAAGACAGAAGTGGACCGAACACAAAGATCAAGGTGCGAGCACATCAATACGATGACTTATTTTATGATAAAGATAGATTTGTGCGAGGGATGTGTGAAGACACATTAGGTGGGTGGAACAGGCTCGTGGTGAACAATGAAAATACATGATATCGACGAAAGGAATCTGAGGAGGGCTACAGCGTGATATAGAGAGGATGTGTACGAAGGGGTCATGTAGATGAGTATGGACATATAGGCTAGGCGGGGTACCAAGTAGTGACGGTGTGAACGGAAGACAAGGTGTGACTGCTAATAATACAATCACACGACGGTGAACAAAACAAGGAAGATGGTGATGAATGTGAGTGATGAGAGTGACTGGTGAGTATAGCTCGCGACACTACACGATGAGTAAGGAAGGGGTGTGAAGCACAAGTCAGGACGGATCTAAAGAGTGGTGTGATGAAGGTGGAAGGACGGAAGAGAATAAGGAAAGAGGGGTAGAGGAATGCGCTAGAATCACGGCAGACTGAGAACCAGTGACCAAGCATAGGTGGAGTCGGTGGGAACATAATAGCATACAGATGCACGTAGAGTGGTAGACATGGCAATAGATGCATGGACAGACAAAGGTCTTAAGCTGGAGGGGCTAAAGGATATGAGGAAATGCGTGGGGGAACAAAACAGGACATAGGCACAGTATCAGACAACGATGACAGGACGACGTAACAGAACATAGAAAACGTACAGTGTGCGAGAAGTAAGGGCGCGAGAGTAGCAATAGAGCGTGTTTCAACGGGAATGACGACATAGTGACAATCAGGAGGCAATGAGATATCGTAAATACACAGGGGTAGTACAAGGGATGAGGAGGACAGAATGTCGGCTCAGGCAGTAGTGTGGAGTGCAGACATCGCGTGTTACAAGGCCGTGAAAAAAAGGAAATTATAATGAAAATATCAATATGCAAAGGGGGGAGGAAATAAATGAAGAGGAAGAGGTGGTGTAAGGAGGGGAGGAGGGTGCACAGAGGAACTGGGGGACTAACACAGTACAGAATAAGTGTGCGGGGATAAGGAGAAATAGTGGAATGGGGAGGGAAAGGGGAGGTAAAGGAGAGAGAAGAAGAGGGAGGAAGTGTGAAAAGAGAGGGATTGAAAGGAGAAGAGTAGTGGGGTAGATGAGAAGTACAGATAAAAGGATAGTATTAGAGAGAGTGAGGAAGGGTTGATATGGATTTAGTAAAGGAATAGATAAATAATAGGGGAATGGGAGGAGGGAAGAGGGAGTGAGAAAAAGAAAAAGTTATTGTAGTACTTGAATGGGGATATATAAATGGGCTGTGCCCTTAAACCTCTTTTCCTAATGAGTGGAATATAGGGTGCGGAAACCTCCGTAAGGTATGCCTTAAATTTATCCCAGACTAACTGGACAGAGTCAGCCATCGAAATCACACAGTTCAGAACTGAAGCCTTAGTTCGCATTGCACTAAAGTCCGCCCGCCAAATATTCGGAAGTAATTCAACAGCGGTCTCTTGGTGCCTTGAAAGAGCACATCGAAAGGATATGCATACGTAATCGCTGGACCCTAGAGGTGCACCGCATGAAACGTCAGTCACGAAGTCCAGGGACTTAGCGAAAACCAAATCCAAAGTAGATGGCATTTGGTTGTCCATATACCTAGTGGGAAAGTCAACGAACTGGTGCAAAGGCACTTGGAGAGTCAGTTCAAGGAAGTCTGCACCGAATGTTCCTAATGCCGAATTGCAAGAAAGATCGGCCCAACAGACTTCCGGGAGGTTGAAATCCCCTAGAACTAAACACTTATTCGCAGACCGAGTGCGAATAAAGTCAAGTATCCTCCTGGAGGAACTTCCAGGACTTCTGTATACCACTATAACTGTAAACTGGGTAGAGGAAGTGCACAAAACAGCCGATAGGGCTTCAACAGTCTGATCCGACGACTGGAATGTGCAAGTCCTCAACACATCTAAGTTACAGCTCACATACAGTACAACGCCTCCGCCTTGGCGACCAACGGAGCGATCAGTTCTAAGCAGCGCGTAGCCAGGTAAATATACCTCACCGTCAGTGATATCCGGGGACAACCACGTCTCAGTGAAAGCAAGTATGTCGGGACGAGATTTGTCTACAAGTAGACCCAACTCGTGCACCTTGTTCCTTAGGCTACGCACGTTGCTAAGTACTACCTCAAGGAAGTCGGCACGACCATCCCTGGATCGTGCGCCATCAGGATTGGTTCTGATAGGGCGGAAAGTAATTTCCGGCTGACCACCTGAAAACCCACCAGACGGAGGCCTTGTTCACCAGCCGCCCGTCTAGTTTTGAGGTCTTTGATAGCCTCCTTTAACTTCAACCTATCTGCCAGTGGGAGGTCCGGCTGAACGCTGACACCACTACCCTTAAGTTTGAATGCAAATCGCAGTAACGATTTGCGTTCCTCCGGGGTAGAAAGGACTACGCGAAGTAGTCGGGGTCGTGGATTTGGCGTAGCGATAGGAACGTTCCCCAATCTGGTCAGCTTTCTGACAGTGACACCAGGGAAACCAGGTGGAAGCAGCTTGCTGACACACAGTTTCAGCCACTTGATGTCATCCAAGATGCGTTCCCTTGGGAGAACAGCCTCAGATTCAGTAACGTTACGGAATATAACGCTACTATCCGTGAAAGAGTCGGCACGACGGGGAGTGTTTACCCCACGTGCCTTTGATTCGACACCTATACCAGCTGTTTTCACCACTGGCGGTGGGACTGTCGCTGGCTTCCCAAACGACGCCGAAGCAACGGTAGCGTAGGTTTTCCGCTCTATTGCCGGCGTCTTACTGGTTCCAGGGTCTTCAAGCCCCTTCGAAGTTTTACGAGCAGATCTTGTCCGCTTCTTCTTTTGGCTCACTGGAGCAGGGGCCGTTGACTTTGTATCGCATTGGGCAGTTACCAGCATTTCGTCAGAACAGGCTGGTTCACTGGCGGCCGAGACAGTCAGCGTCTGTGGAAAGTTCTGTGTGCAATCTTCAGACGACTTTACGACTGTCAAAGACGGCATCTCGTTCGATGCCGTGGCAACTAGTTCTCTGGGTTTAGCAGAGGGCTTTTGGTATTTCCGCACCCTATTTTTCTTCACTTTGATCGGATCATGAGGACCGCCAGCAATGCTACCTGGATTGGCCGGTAGGATGTGCGACTTTATGATCGAGTGACAGACTCCAGTGGATGGATCGTCAGCAATGTTGCCGGCTATTGCTGTGTCTTCAAACGAAATATTTAGGGATTTTAAAATTAAATCCATTTTCGTATCGAGCGACGCAATAGAGGCGAGTTTAGCTATCGCCAACTCAACATCTGCCAACCTTGAAGCCAACGCTGAAAGTTTAGCACCGGTGACAGCCGGGCGCGTCGATCTTTTAGCGCAGCATTCAGCGCAGCTGAAAAGAAAGTGGACGCTTGATGATAGCATTTGGTACTGGTCAGCTTGTAGGCCGGTACAGCTTTCGTGATACCAGCGGCAGCAGACGTCACACTGCATACCACCAGATGCATCTGTTACTGGCTCTGAACAGTTAACCTGTCCGCAAGCTGCAGTAGACTCATCAAACGAGGACCCCATAGGTCCATCCGTCTCGGCGTTTAGCGAGACAGCCATGTTCATGTGGAAAACAGATTAGAATAACAACACGTATACAATAGGAAAACGACCGCAATAAAAAGGCAAAAACAGGGTGTAAAACGGGATTAAAACTGGGAACAACCGGAAAAATTACCAGTAAGCGTCAAAGACGCTTGGGCCAGTACCAATTTAATCGATCCAAGATTTCTTGGATCAGAGGAAATTTGACAATAGTCAAATTTCGTTTCAAGTGTTTATTCAAACACTGTTTTCCACGTTATTTCAGCTGAAAAGCTCGATCAGTATGGCACGCCAAAAAATCGAGTTACCGCGTAGAACTCACAGTACTGTTTGGCAGACAGCCAAGAATTCCACTCGATGCATGCACTACGCAAACGCAAGGATGGGATATCCCACCAACACACCGCTAACATTTGGAAGCAACTGCCAGAAGAGAAATCAAGTTTCGGCAGATAAGTGGCCAATTAATGCAACAGCTTCGGATGAATGGAAGCAGGACCGAAAGCTTTAGAGGGATTAATGCCTTGCAGTAGCTCGAAGACCTGAGTCTCTGTTATGCTAGATTCGTCTAAGCAAGAACCCTCTGGAACTAGAAACCAACTCAACTTGTGGTAAAGAGGTCACCCGAGCAAAGACCCCAGTATACTGATCACTAAGTGCATAAGCGTTGTCATAGTCAGTTTGCGCACAGGTGCCGTCTGCTCGCAATAAAGCTGGTATAGACAATTTTGCCCCGCTGCGTCTTTTAACGTAAGCAAAAACTTCTTGGGATTAAGTGACGCGGAGTCCGCTAAACCGTGCTCGTACTGGAGACTAGCAGTTCTGAGATGTTGCTTACATTTATTTCTAATCTCTCGATAACTACCATAGGTACTGGCTGATGGAGCTGCTTGATAGGTTCGCCAGCATCTAGACCGTTTCTTGAGTAAGTACTTGCCTGTGGTATCTATCCATAGAGGCTGTGCTCATAATCCTCTTTTCCCGGAGCGTCCTATCCGCCACTTGAGGATAATGTCTTCAGGTCCGGTCAGATGGACGATAGAGGCTTCCGCCTAACGAGCGTCCAGTTCTTGTGCCGGTAAGTGAAGCGACCCCCGGCACTTCGACGTTGGATTGTCTCTTCTTGCTTCTGCAATGGAATGAAGCAAGAACAAGAGCAATCTCTGCACTTTCATATGCCAGCATCAAAATACACTACATATTAAAGTACAACTACAATATCTCTGGAAAAAGGATGGACCAACAATTGTCTAAGCCCCTTTTGAAGTCTTCTACGGTCTCAGACTCCACTAAATCAGAAGGGAGTTTATTCCAGTAGTTAACTGCCCGGTTCGTAAAAAACTTTGCCCTGATGTCCAAACGAGCTCTGTGATGTTTAAGCCTCAGGCGATGCCCGCGCAGATGGTCTGACGTAGCCAGCTCAAACAGATGGGTGGAACTAATACCACTAAGTCCCTTAATGATCTTAAACGTCTCTATCAAATCCCCTCTCAACCTACGCCGTTCCAGGGAGAATAATCCTAAGCTACTTAGACGATCTTCATAAGACTTCCCTCGTTGACCTTCAATCATCCTGGTCGCAAGTTTCTGAATCTTTTCTATACAAGTGATGTCACTACGGAGGTACGGGGACCAGGCTTGAACGCAATACTCCAGATGTGGCCTGACCACTGCTTTATATAAGGGCAAGAATACTTCTGCTTTAGTGTTACTCAGCGCCCTCCTAAGACGAAATAATTCGTGTCGTGCTTTATTGGCAGCATGGCGACACTGTGCCGAAGGCTTAAAATTGTTCACGGGCTTCGTCAGTGCACCGCAATGATAGAAATCCCACAGGAGACTGAACTGCAATTCCGCTACCACTACTAGTCAATAGTTGACATTTGTTGGCATTTAGAGGTAGGTCCCATTGACTTGACCAATTCACCACAGTGAGGATGTCCTTAGCCAATGTCGCACGGTTTCCCCTACTGACCAGCTTCAAGTCTTTTCGGCAGTGTGATTCAGGTACACACGGTTGCAGGTCATAGGTGGATTCTCCTGTCTTGGACAATCTACCATACATTCTCCCACTTCCTTCCTTTTTCTGATACATACAGTGGACTTCCATAAACTAATTTTCATATTCTGTTTTCTTTTTAACAACACTGTTATATTTCGACTTCTTCACTTTTATTCAACTTCGCAATTAGGCATGGTATAGATCTGTTTATGGCTTTTTGGAGGTACTGACCTCTTTACAAACACCTTGCGCAAGTACCCAATAAAACCCTTACATTTTGAGAACGCAGAAACAGGTTGTTCTGGTGAAGAACAGCCCGCATTCAAAATCGCGCTAGTGGCCGATAGAACGGTCTCCTTTTTTCCTCACGAGTGGAATATAGGGAGTGGAAGCCTCCGTAAGGTATGCCTTTAATTTATCCCAGGCTAACTAGACACAGTCAGCCATCGAGATCTCGCAGTACAGAAATCAAGCCTTAGCTCGCATGCCACTAAAGTCCTCACGCCAAATATTCGGAAGTAATACAATAGCAGTCGGTCGGTGCCTTGAAAGAGCACATCGAAAGGATATTGTAGCGCCCAAAAGATAACTGCTATCTTTCATCTACAATTTACATGTTGGCCGATTGTACATTACTCTTTCTTGTTTTAATCTTCCTTACAACCGGCTAGTTACACAACAGCCTTGTAAGTTCCCGCGCTGACGAGTACGCTCTCGCCTCGCTTCATCTGTCCGCTTCTTATTGTAGCCCATCGAATAGATTCCGCTGTGTCCGACTCCCATTGCCTTCTGATATCCGCGCTTAAATTCGCGCACTGTCTCGGACTAGTATTAACTAGTCCTACAAATTGGTGACCCCGATTCGCACGCGCAATTCAACATTTTTTCCTAGTTTGTAATTTTAGGTGAGTTCGTTTCTTTTTCTTGATTATATCCCTGTATTCATTTGTTTTTTGCGTAATCTTACTACTTTTACTCGTCAAGTTTCATGGAACACAGTCCAGAAGTTTGGTTTAAGATATTCGAGATCGAACTAGAAAATAAGGGCATTACGGCGGACCGTCCGAGGTACAATCAGCTCGTCCCACGCCTTCCTCCGTCGGTTGTGACGCTGATTGAGGACATTCTACTCTGCCCATCGAATGAGGCAAAGTATGAAACGATGAAGCAAGCGATTTTAAAAGAGTTACGGCCCAGCGCACGAACTCGATTTGAGCAGCTCAATGGTCTCAAGCTTGGAGATCGCAAGCCGTCGGCGTTGCTCCGCGAACTTCAGCGCATCGCTGGTCCCTTATTCTTGAGCGAAGAAGGGATAAAGGAGCTGTGGTTTGCACGTCTCCCAGAGCCATTGCCGGTAATGCTGTCCATGTTTATAGATACACCCCTGAAAGAATTAGCTACCAAGGCAGACGCTGCGTTCGAACGTCTTCCGCAGCAGACGACCAGTAGCTCCGGTGACGTATTCTCACCGATGAAAACCGAATCTCATGTTTGCTCCCAGTCGTTAGGCCGATCTGACTCTAAAGACGAGGAAATTGCGCTACTTCGCAGCAGGATAGCAGCAATGAAGGCTTCGAAGCAGCGCGTACCACGGTCAATTGCTGACCATGCTTTGGCTACCGTTCATTGCGGCTCGTCTGTGCCTGCACCGAGTACGTCACGCTCGGTACGAAAGCTCAACATTTTCCCTACAAGTTTTCAGTCAGATAATGTCAAACACGTCGATGAAGTATGTTGGTATCACCGCCAATACGGTGGAAGAGCTAGATGTTGTTGGGCTCCCTGCATTAGGCACGACCCAGCTGCTTCAGGGAAAACGAATAGCCCGCATACTAGCACGATAAGCGTATCATTCAATAACCAAGCAAACCGTCTGTTTTACGTTAAGGATCGACGTTCTTCCATCACATTCCTCATCGATACGGGGGCGGAACTCAGCGTCATCCCAGCGACCGCTAACGACAAGCACGCAGAGCCTACGTACAATTTGCGTGCGAGCAACGGTTCTCCGATAGCTTCATTCGGTCAGCGCATGATGAACCTGGACCTTAATCTTCGCCGAGACTTCCTGTGGGTCTTCATGGTTGTGTTTGTACCCTTCGCAATTATCGGTATCGACTTCCTCCGACATTTTGGATTGCTAGTTGATGCTGGTCGCCACAGACTTTTAGACGATCGTACTGAAGTAGTGGTTGAAGGCGTTCTTACGTACCACCCGATAATCAGTCCCGTTTTTTCGAATCGCAGATGTACCTTCAGGTTATGCGAACCTACTCTCTGAGTACCTGCGACTGGTACGACCAGCTGCAGAGCTTCCGCCAGTCACGTCAAAGGTCGCTCATCACATTGCCAAGCGTGGTCAGCCAGTTAGCGCACGACCAAGACGGCTTGCTCCTGACAAACTATGCGCAGCACGAGCTGAATTCGACCACATGCTTCAACTTGGTATCGTCAGACCGTCCAACAGCCCATGGGTGTCGCCACCGCACACGGTCCCGAAGAGGGTCATGGGGGACTGGCGTCCTTGCGGCAACTATCGATCCTTGAATACGGTGACCACGCCCGATCGCTATCCGACCCCGCACATAGTGGATCTCACCGCCAGTCTGGCAGGTAAAAGTATCTTCAGCAAAATCGACTTGGTACGCGCATACAACCAAATTCCAGTAGCCGAAGCGGACATCGCTAAAACTGCTGTGACGACTCCATTTGGTTTGTTCGACTTTCTGCGCATGCCATTTGTCCTAAAGTACGCCACGCAAACTTTCAGCGTTTCATCGGCCAAGTTTGTCGCGGTTTAGACTTCGCTTACGCGTATCTTGATGACATTTGAATCGCAAGCTCTTCACGAGAAGAGCACATACGCCACGTACGAACACTTTTTGATCGTTTATCTCAACACGGGATGACGATCAACGCGAAAAAAATGTTCGTTTGGTGTCGATTCAGTCAATTTCCTCGGCCATCGTATCCGCTGCAGGCGTCGTGCCGCTGCAAGATAACATTCAAGCCATCATCGACTACCCAGAGCCTCATTCTTTCAAACAGCTCAGGCGTTTTGATGGGCTTGTCAACTTTACCGACGATTTATACCCAACTGCGCCTCGCTGATGAAACCCCTCACGGACCTTCTCAGTGGGACACTCATGAAATTCGAATTTCCTGCCTCAGCACGCGCTGCTTTTAAGTCGCTGAAAGAAGCTATCGCCATCATAGCTTCTATGGCGCATCACGATCCGGCCGGCCCACTGTCCCTCAGTACTGACGCCTCGGGCGTGGAAGTCGGCACTGTTTTGCAGCAACGAGTAGCCGACACGTGGCAACCTTTACCGTTTTTCTCCAAACGCCTACAACCAACCGAATCTCGCTACAGCACGTTCGGTAGAGAACTATTAGCCGTATATCTAGCGGTACGTCACTTTCGACACGTCCTAGAAGGCCGCTCCGTTGTCGTCTTCACCGACCACAAACCCCTGACTTACGTGCTCGGCTCGACTATCGACCGATACTCTCCTAGAGAGTCGCGCCACCTTGACTATATCGCTCAGTTTACGACCGATATACGGCATGTCTCAGGTGTGCACAACGCCGTCGCCGATGCACTTTTCCGCATTCAAGCTATCTCCGCTGACGCCGGCACTGCTATCGACTTAGCAGCCATGGCCACAGCACAACTCAACGATCCTGAGGTTGATCTACTATGCAGGTCTCCCTCATTGGACATATGACCCGTTCCGCTGACATCCTCAGACGGGACTATACTCTGCGATTTATCTCTGGGCACGCCGCGCCCATTCGTCCCACGCGAGTTTCGCCAGACCGTGTTCTACTCGTTGCACGGTTTGTCTCATCCAGGCGTTCGTGCATCGGTTAAACTCGTAACCGCACGATTCGTTTGGCGCAATGTTAATCTGGACGTCCGTTCCTGGGCAAACGCTTGCCTTCCGTGTCAACGCGCGAAGGTGCACAAGCACACGGGAAGCCCATTAGGTACATTTCCGACTCCGGACGCACGT